TGGTGTTAGTGTGGATTTGAGCTGCCATTTTAGCTTTGGCTTCGACATTTTCACTACTTGACATTTTTGGGTTGGGCCCATATCTGACTCGTCCAAACTCAAAATCCATCTTCTAGGTGTTTGAACCTACACGCTCATATTCTTGTCCTCTTACATTTTATGACAATCCTCTCTGATAGCTTGTCCTAAAATATCCAAAAACTACCAAAATGCATAAATTTTGTAAATACACTCTTAAAGGATACAAAACACACCTTTGAGAAAATATCAAGCAAAGCCAAATTAAAATGGTTGAAGATATGAAGAAATAATGCAAAAAATGACATAAAATTAGATGATAAAAACGTATATTTTACGTATCATAAAATAACCCACACTTTAACTTTGCTTGTCTGCAAGCAAACCACACTCCAAGTCGTACAACTCATAGACCTCTCCGATGACATGTAACTTTTGATTATAGGTAGTGGGAACTTACAAGATAACCAGGAGATAAAAACATCTAACCACATAAGTGAGGAAATCCTAAAATCTAACATTCTCATGACTTTAGCATAAGTAACTGTCACTTCTATATCACATCCATGGAGATAGGCAATGTAAAGAGGGGTGTCGAATGATTTATATGTTCCCCCTAGACACAATTATCAAGTGATACTCCGATCCTTAGGGGAAATCCTAAAATCTAACATTCTCATGACTTTAGCATAAGTAACTGTCACTTCTATATCACATCCATGGAGATAGGCAATGTAAAGAGGGGTGTCGAATGATTTATATGTTCCCCCTAGACACAATTATCACATCATATGAGATATGTTTTTCGATTACCTCACACTTTATTTGGAACACACACATTTTTATTATAAAGAGCTGTGAATAAATATTTTTCATTTGAGTTTTAAAATTATTTTGAATCATGTAACACCCTAGTCTTTGAAACCTTTAAATAACGGTTTTGACATGTATGATGGAGATTAATTGGATGGGAATGATGAGGGGAAAGAGGAATAGTGGGGGGAGGGGTTAGTTGCTGAAGCCAAGGGAGAGAGAGGAGTAATAGTTAGATTTTTTGGGGGGGAGGAGGGGGGGGGGGATTTTAATTCGAATAAAATTAGTACTCAATTAGGATTAATTTATTGAGGTTAATAAAAATTAAAATCTCAATGAGTTAAGGGTGATACATTACCCCATTCTCAAACGACTCATTCTTTGATTACTGGTTGAACCTAAACACAGGAGTGTTATATTTTCTCCTCACTTATAAAAATTCCGTCCTCCAAATTGGAAGTGTATCCTCATTATTGAAATTGTAGGATAGAAACTAAGGAACAACAAACTTGTACCGAGATACATTGTGTTTGAATGAAACTATCTTGGCTAGGTGTAACACTTCCTTCCCAGTTAAGAAAATTTTGACGTCGAAATTAAGGTACTAAGAAGTCGTAAGAACAACATAAAGATCTCTAAGTACCCACTCTTCTTAATGCCGACATAATAATCATGCTAGAGAAATCTATCGGTTACATGGGTCTATCAAGAAAACAACTCTGGAACTTCTCTCTCAAGCTATGATAACACCTACATTGGTGTTATTTACCAATGTTGTTAGAATCGAACCGGTATATGAACCGGTATAGTAAGTGGTTCGCACTTTACTAGTTTAACCGATACTAATCCACTATAAACCTGTTAACGAACCGGTATCTAATAAATGAAATTATTATAAGTAGAAACCATTAATAGTACTATAATTATATATTTATTCTAATATATTCCTAACAGAAAATTATATATGGCAAGTAAAGATTATCATTTTACATAAATATAAATTATTTAAGCATAAAAGTTGTGATTTTTCAAAATTGAATACTGCCTAATGATTGGTAAAAGAATTTGTTAGCTTTTGTTTCACAAAAATGGGGCTAGACCTATTGATAGAAGGTTTGACTTGTCACCAAGAGGTGTTGGGTTCAAATCCCAGCTCTCTCACATTTGTCCAAATTTTTTTAATTTGGTCAAATAGGATTCGACCGTCAAAACCGGTTGAGTGGTTCTAACGGCTAGCCCGGTTCAAAGGTCGATTTGCATACAAATCGGACGATTGGACCGTGACGGTTAAATAGTCTGACCGGATCGAGTTAGAGGGCGAGTGGCAGTTCTATCGGTCGAACTGGCCGGTTCGGTTTGGCTTTAACAACACTGTTATTTATCTTTCATATTGAGGTTTGTTCGTGCCAATTCCTATGCATAATTGCTTGAACATCTTCAATTGCGAATTAGGTACAAAACAATGTCACAAGTGTAGCAAGGCGGCAAAAGACTGAAAATCATGGCCTAGAAGAGAAGATCACGGCCGAGAACATGAACCAGGATCGTGGTCCGAAAGCCCAAGATCGCGGCCTCGAATTAGAGGGCTCAAGGCGAGAACTTCGCGAAGAAGGAACCGATGAGAAACATAAAGTTTCCCTAGTCAAATAATGGCCATAGTGTATTTTGACCACGAGGAAGATCCCGACCGCGACTGCGAAGTCAGTTTGCGATCTCCTCACTCCTGAAGGGCAATACGACTGTGTTTCAAGATCACGACCTCGCCAATGAAGATCCCGCCTGCGATATCTAGCTTGCCGGCCGCGAACTTCTTCGTCCCTTGTTTACCTATAAATAGAAGATACCTTTTCCCCTTTTAGGAGAGATGATTTTGAGAGAAGAATTTATAGTTTGAGAGAGAGAGAGAGAGAGAGAGAGAGAGAGAGAGAGAGAAGAGAGAAGAGAGAGAACCTAAAGAAAAGAGAAGAGGAGAAGAAGGAGAAGGAGTTAGAAGAGAGGAGACATCTTCCTCAACCTCAAGTCTTCTTTAATTTATTACTAGCTTATAACTCGGCCCGTTGGCCGGAATGTTCATATTTGATTATTTATAATTTTATGTTAAGTTTAAGTCTATCAACCTGTTTAATTTTTTTGATAATCTTTCGAATGAGATAATACATAAAGAAATAATATATAGGCTGAACACTCGAAGAAATACCATCATCTTTTAAGAATATAAAATATAAAAATGTATCATTGATTTCATTTTCATTTTCATAATGATAATATTATATTGGTTAGTTAATTGTCAAAAAAGATAGAATATAAAAGCTCACTGGAATTACCACACGGCCCATATATAGTTTGAAACTGAATCTAAAACCTCACAATCCTAGATAAAGGCTTCAATGCTCTTCTTTTAGGAACAACATGCCACTAATAAAAAAGAAATTGAGAGTTGTTGGTTCAAGTCAACTATATACTACAAACTAAACTAAGTGGGAACCATCAAAACTTGAGAGCAAACGACAAAATTAGGGTTATCTCCAATATACTAATAGACTTGATCAAAGTCATAAGACACAAAATTAGACACTCCTTTTCTATAAGTTTCAGTAGGTTGAATAAAGAATCGACCTAATTCAGTAAATCAATGATTTCTCGTTTAACATATAAATAGGTTGTGGTAGCTGCAAAAACCATAAACCTAAAGAGCCAATAGCCACCACTCTCCGTTGAACGACCAAATTTTTATCCACTCTATCTTTAATCTCAAGAGGCATATGTTTCAACCAAACAACTTCATTTCCTCGGGGCATTTGTAATAAGTTCGCTAAAACCAACACTCATCTCCAATTCCATCAATATGTTCATCTCCCCCTTGACTGCCTTCACCTGCTTTAGTCCACTTCCATGCCCTTCCATAACCTCTACATTTTCATTATTATCCTCATCATCTCTGACTTCTCTCTCTTTAACTGCTTCTGTTTCTCTTCCATGTCTTTCAACACCCACCTCAATTCATTCACTCCCCTCTCCAACTCCCTCTTCTCTGCCTTCACCTGTTGCAGTGGAACTTTACCTGCTACCAAATTCAAACACAATTTCTTCCCCTCTCCCCCCCCCCCACCCCCCCACCACTTCCATTCTCAAACTCAATTCCAACTCTTCTACTCCAAGTTTAAATTCATAACTACTTGATTGAACTCCATTCTATTCGCCATGGATTGATATCGGATTTGAAATTTTCTATTTGCCTAGTTTAAATCCCAAAAATAAAACTGTCGTGCCAAGAGAAACCGGAAGATTAATTTTCAAATGCGTTCTTGTACTGGGAAGTGAAAGGGCCAAATTATTGCACGATGGACGGACTTTCGGAGGAAGTTATAAAGAGATAAGAACAAAGATAAAAAAGCACAAAATTTAATTTTAAATCGAAAAATACAATGACACAACACGTAGTAAAAGAAATAGTTTCTTCCATGTTAGCCAATTACAAATTTACCTAAGCAAAAATTAAGGAGAGCATGAATTTTAAAATGGATAAAATTACATGAAACTCTACTATGGAAATTGAAGTATTAAGCACCATAAAAATAAATATGGTAGACTTAGTGGGCTTGTTGATCATGATGTAAAAGTTATTAACTTTCCAGAGTTTAATGTATGTTTTGTATCAAATAGAAATAACAAATTCGTTTAGTGTAGTTGGTTATGATTGTTGTCCTTGTTTGAAGAGACCTGGGTTCAAATCTTGATACTAATATTTTTTATTTGAAATAAATAAATAATTGTAAAGACAAAAATGTCCTTCTTCACTCTCGTTACATAAAATTTGAAATGGAGAAAATTACGCAAAACTCTACCATATATTAAAAAAATTAACGAGAGCATGAATTTTAAAATGGATAAAATTACATGAAACTCTACTATGGAAATTGAAGTATTAAGCTCCATAAAAATAAATATGGTAGACTTAGTGGGCTTGTTGATCATGATGTAAAAGTTATTAACTTTCCAGAGTTTAGTGTATGTTTTGTATCAAATAGAAACAACAAATTCGTTTAGTGTAGTTGGTTATGATTGTTGTCCTTGTTTGAAGAGACCTGGGTTCAAATCTTGATATTGATATTTTTTATTTGAAATAAATAAATAATTATAAAGACAAAAATGTCCTTCCTACTTTCACTCTCGTTACAGAAAATTTGAAATGAAGAAAATTACACAAAACTCTACCATATATTAATGGAGGATATGTATCTTCCTCCCTCCTTTATGGAGTAGTCCTCTAAGGTACTAGGGGTTCTAAACCCCAAACCCCAGTTTTAGGGTTTACTATGTATGTATGGATATTCTAGGGTTTGAATGAATGAATGTGTTTATCTAGTTGATTCTATTGCTATTCTATCATTGATTGTGTTTGGGTAGGTAGCCCTAATCTTCTCTATTAGCCTACTTTATGCTTCTACGCTGGGTATGGAGTTCTAGGGTTAGACGAGTATTAGCCATCAAGCAAATTGAGGTAGATTTATGAATAGGAATCTATGGTGGTCGAGGCCGACCGACACCCTATCATAGGTAGCCTTCCTAGATAGAAACCACGATAAAACTTCGGTGTGGACGGTGTATAGTATTCAACGAAAGGAGCTACGAGCTTAAGGCCCCAGATATGATAGCCTAGATCGAGGTGACTTTATATGGGTCTAGGGGAGGCATACTCGGAGGTGTGTGGATAACCATGAAATTCCACTAACACGAGCTCACACACCACATTCGATGACCCTAAGTAACTAGACATTACATAGTAGCCCTAGGCTAGGGCGAGGAATAGTTCCCCGAGTAAAATACGACCTTGATTGCCACTATACGACAATGTCATCTTAGGTTAAACTTGGCCTAGGATGGATTAAGTTGTTGACATGTGCTAACCATGGACAATAACCTGCACAGATGAATGTGATCAACCTTTTTGGCGTCGTTGCCGGGGAACCTTGGTAACTAGTAGAAAACCATTAAGTTGTTAGTTTAGTCTTTACTTTGTTTTGTTTGTTTGTTTGGTTTTGCATTCTTGTTTGTGTTTTTGTGTGTGTTTTGTTGTTTTTGTGTTTGTTTTGTTATCTAACTTCATACGTCACATGGTCTGAAGGTTGTGTTTTGTAGCAACTTTGTATGCGAAAAAGGGATTCTTTGGAGATATTACATCTTGATACGGAAATCGAGGGAACCCTTCGGAATCTAAGAAGAGTTGCAAGACCTTAATCTCCACCAATGGTGGAATAACAAGCTCGAGTTCCACCAAAACCAAGAACAGTGGGTTCTTATTCTAGGCCAAGTGTGGATAACGTTCAATCACCTATTCTTCATCCAACGATGCCCAACAATGACTATGAGATCAAGATGGGCACAATTTTAATGCTTCAAAGTGCTGTTCAATTCAATGGGATGATGAGTGAAGATTCTCATGCACATGTCAAGTCGTTTTACGAGTTGACAGATGGAATCAAGGTGAATGGGGTTCCTCAAGAAGCTATCCGGCTAAGGTTATTTCCGTTTACCTTGAATGGAGCAGCCAAGAAATGGTTGAATAATCAACCACATCACTCCATCACCTCATGGGATCATCTATGCAACAAGTTCTTTACAAGGTATATTCCACCTTCTAAGACGACTTTAATGAGAAGTGAGATTACTATGTTCCGTAAAGAGGAGGATGAACCATTGTTTGAAGCATGGGAAAGGTTTAAATCTCTCCTACTCAAGTTTCCTCACCATGGAATTTTCGATTGATTACAAGTGGAAAGCTTCTATAATGGTTTGACATAGGAGTCACAAAACCTCATTGATGCGGCTAGTGGAGGTGCCATTAGGCACAAAGAAGTCGGAGAACTTCAACAATTAATTGAAGAGATGACCATTAATAGCTAAGATTGGGGTGAAGGAAGAAGAGGCAAGAGCTTGAAGAAGGGAAGTTTAATAAAGGTCGAAGAACCATCATCGTTAGCGTCTCATATTCAAGAACATTATAAGAAAATTGATCAAGTTGCATCTTCAATGTAAGGAAATGGGAAGAAACTTATGAAATGTGATTAGTGTGGCGACTCAAGTCATATTGTGGAAGAGTGCAAGTCTATGATTGAGGCTTCACTACAATTTGAGCAATCCAAATTTGTTGGAGGGAAATCTCGAGGGAACAAACCTTATAGCTCAACATATAATCTAATTGGTAGAATCATCCTAATTTTCTTTGGTCTTCTCCGACAAATAGGAAACCTCCAGGGTTTCAATCTCAGGCTCCAATGCAAAATACTTATAAAAAAACAAGTCAATCGTCGTACAAAGGAGCGTATCTAGAACAAAGTCGACCCTCCAATGGTCGAGTCGCTAAACTTGAAGACTTGGTAGGACAATTTGTTACACAATCTAACAAGAAGTTTGAAGCTATTGACAAGTTCATAGAGAATACCTCAACCAAATTCTCAAGTTTAGAAGCGGGTCAAGGGAATCAAAAAGTTTCACTTCAAAATCTTGAAGCTCAACTAAGTTCGTTGGTTCAAACTCGATCGTTAAGACCTCAAGGAAATCTACCGGGCAATACTGAACCTAATCCAAAGGAAGGATGTCATGCGGTAAGTCTATGCAATGGCCGAACCTTAAAGGAGATTCCTATCTCAACTCCGAGGATTCCGATAATAGAAGTTCACGTGAAGTCATTCAAGAAGGAGAGCTAGTTCGGGAGGAAGTCCGATTCCATTGAAATCAAGATTGAAGATGAGGAGAAGTCAAAGAAGACTCAAGTATCCGATCTAACACCAAAAGTTCCTTATCTTAGACGGTTATTTGAAAGTGACCTCTATCATATATGTGCTCCATGGAAGGATACCTTGAAGCAATTGAAGGTAACCGTCCCTTTCCTAGACACGGTGATGAAGATTCCTAAATATACTAATTTGTTAGAAGAAATATTGTCGGGAAAGAGGAAAATGGAAGAAGTAGCTATGGTATCCATTAGTGAAGTTGTTTTGGCATCCATTGGATGTGGAGGATTCCCACCCAAACCAATAGGTCAGGGAATCTTCACTATCCCAGGCACCTTAGGAGTCAAAATCTTTGGAATCTGTTAGCCGACTTGGAGTCTGGCATCAACATTATGCCTACACGGATATACAATGAATTACACCTTGGACCACTCATACCTACCCAGATGCGGGTTGAGTTGGCCATTAGGTCCGTAGTCGAGCCAAGAGGAATCATAGAGAACATCTTGGTGAAGTGTGCTCATTTTTTCTATCTGGTGGACTTCGTGATCCTAGACACAGAGGGGTATGATGCATTGATTATCCTAGGCCGACCATTCTTAGCTACGACACAGACTATCATTGATGTAAGTGGAAACAAGATGCCCTTAAGGTTTGGTGAGGAGGAAATAAGCTACAAGATGACCCCATAAGTGTTACAAGTGGGACAATGTAAAGATGGACTGTGAGTCGGTTACACCTCCTACCACACCACCTTCAATGCTCGAGATAGAATGGTTCAATATGGTATCCCATATTGACTCCCATGATATTAAAGTTGAAGGTGCAAGTGACTCTTGCATAACTATGAAGAGATCGGGTAAGAAAAAGTTCTCCTACAAAAGGGAAACTCAAGAATTATTTGAAGTTTCTCACCAAGCCAAAGACCATAGAAGGAAACTTGAAAGGTTCATCTTTGAAGAGAAACATCCTAAGAAAGGAAGTCAGATGGTTATGGGCAACCTAACTCCTATAATCGAAGATGAAGAGCATCGCCAACTGTCGATCCGGGAATTCACTAAAGCACTGGAGATCAATGCAGTTAAAAGCGCGATTCTACCTAGAAGGGGAAAAGGGGTAAAATTGTAAACGTAGAATCAAAGCGTAAAAGCGTAAGTTTTTTACGCATACTGTAAAATAACAAAAAATATGTTGAGTACGATATATACTATGTAAAATATGAGTGCACAGAATTTGGACAAGTTAATAAATACTTGTAATTCACGTCTAAAGTAGAGCAACTCATAGTATCTTTTAACAATAAGTTCATAAACATAGATCTTAACAATAAGCCAACTTCCTGCCTATGTTAATAAATTTGGGAAAGGCCTAGCTCGTGAATTAGATTACTCTATTGAAGTTGAGAATGCATCCAAGTACCTGATATGTATCTTTTATTCTAAAATCTATCATATGGTTGGTGTTTTACCTTTAAAATATACTTTTTATAATAAATTTCATGAAAATAATATCCATTTAGTGAGCTAAAAACATAAAAGCGTAAAGCGTTTTGGTGAACTAGAAGCGTAAAAGAGTAAGCTTTTAAGCTTTAACACGCAATTTAGTCCTATTTTATGCACATAAGATTTTACATGGAAACGAAAGCGTTTTAGTGACCTAGATGCGTAAAACCGTAAGATTTTAAGTTTTAAAACGCGATTTTGACTGCATTGTTGGAGATTTACCTAGCGGATTTTGCTGACTAACCGAACAATTTTCTACCTTGAAAAGGGAATCCGACTTCCCTTGTTTCAAAGCATTTTATGAATCTGATGTCAAGAAATCCAACAGTTGACCATGGGGGGTCAAGAAATCCAACAGTCGACCATGGGATGTCAAGCTACCCAGTCTTGACCTATTGACTAAGGTTTGCCAAGACTTCACACTCGAATCGGAGTTCGGACGACTCAATTACAACCAACCCTAGGTGCTAATACGAATAGAGAGGGTTGCCCTACATTAACCAATGTAGGAGACAATAATTTGCCTAAGAAAACCCAGCTTTACAAGTCTCTTTCAAAGAAAGAGAGTTTTCTCTCTACCAAGGTTAGAATGGCAAATAGATTGATAAGCAAAGATACAACACAATCTTTCATGAAAATACCTCCAAATTCACATTAAAACACATACACACACTAATCATTCAATCCACAAACATTCACATAACTAGAAGCTCCTAAAACCACGAGCATTATGAGTAGGGCGATAAACATCCTTTTCAACCACGAGCATTATAATTGTAGCTAGGGTTTACAAACACCCAAGTGAAAGAAGAGACTACTCCATGCTAGGAGAAGGGAAAACACAAGAGAAGAAGGAAAACAATCATGAAGATACTAACCTTGCTCCTTGTGTTGAAGAGATCCTCCTTTCGGGGAGGAATTCCCAAATTGTTGCTTGAAGATGAAACCCTACCTTCTTCTCTTCTTTGGTTCGTCACTTTCTTACTCTTGAAATTTGAAGAAGAATAAGAAGTTTCTCACACTAGGTCTCTCCCCTTTCTCCTTCGGCTCAAACCTCCTTTTATACCCAGATCGGGCTCAGATCATGCTCCCAGTTCACGACCGTGAACTAGCTTAGTCCAGTGAAATATGCTCTAGATGCCTGGCGGTTCACAGCTAGCAGCTCTAGTTCACGGTCTTAGTGACCGTGAACTCACAGCTCTCACCTTGATCTGCTGCTGCTTCCACCCTCTGACTTGATTTTTCGCCATTTCATCCAACTTTCGACTCAGGGGTTGGTTCCACCTGCCATAGTCGAAAAACACCAAAACGAGGCAAAACTGAAAGCCCAGACCGTGAACTAAAAGCCCGAACCGTGATAATGGTCCCAGTTCACGATCGTGAACTGAAAGCCCGAACCGTGATCTCAAGTCAAAACGCCCCGCATCACTAAGTCAAGTTCACGAGCAATGGCCTGAGTTCACGGTCTTACGACCGTGAACTAGCTTGAGTCCAGTGAAATATGCTCTAGATGCCTGGCGGTTCACAGCTAGCGGCTCTAGTTCACGGTCTTAGTGACCGTGAACTCACAGCTCTCACCTTGATCTGCTGCTGCTTCCACCCTCTTACTTGATTTTTCGCCATTTCGTCCAACTTTCGACTCCAGAGTTGGTTCCACCTGCCATAGTCCGAAAAACACCAAAACGAGGCAAAACCCGACGTAAAACCAAACCTCATGGAGTAAAAATTCCTCAAACAACTAAGGAAACCGGGGGTAAAAAGTGTACAATTGGGCTCGAATCAGCCGATGTCGATTCACTCTTCAATACGATCGAAACTCACCTCGCAACCGGATCAGAAACTCACCGGCTAGATCAATTCGCCGACTCGTTTGTTTCTTTCCATCTATCCTCGTTGCCAGATCGATCCTCCATTCCTTGCCTTTCTCGTCGCCGTCTCGAACTACAACGCCAAAGAAGAATGGGAAGGAGCATAAGCATACATCCTTGTCGCCGTCGGCTTAGTCTCGGAAAGGTGAAGATAAAGAATAAAAGGAAAAGTGTGGAGGAAGAGAGATTTTCATTATGAAAAGGAAGAAGAGAGACTGGAGCAGTCGTCTCGAGCTGAGATTAAAGGAAGAAGAGAAATTGGAGACAACCAAAGCTCCAACAGCGAGGGTTCCGAGCGTCGGAGCGAATGAGTAGACAGGGCGTTGCCTTCCCAACTCGGAGATTAGAACCCAGACCTGGGATTTTTATATCTGGAATCGGTTGGTGGGGGTTCTGGAAATTCTTCAATGGAGACGGAAGGGATAAGAGTGTAGGGTGTTTTAATGTTTATTATTATTTTTTAATTATAAAATGTTATTATTATTATTATTATTTAATTATAAATGTTAGTTAAATTAATATATATCGATGTGGCACAGTCAAATAGTTGACTGTTTTTCCACATCATCAGTATCCATCAAACTCAGAAATTAGTATGTCATGTCATAGTCAATTAATAGTTGACCGGATGGAAAGTTAACGATTTGGCCATTAAATGTTTTTTTTGAAAAGGTTTGGCTATTATCTTGTATTAAAATGAAAGGTTTCACTATTATATTGTATTTACCCATTTTTATTCCAGCGTTGATTAATTGTAAACAATAATAAAAGCATTAAAAATAAAGGGAAAGGAAGATAAATATAACCAATAGTGAACTGCCAAGTGGCTTGGTTGGAGCTTGTAGCTAAATATTTCTCTTTAATGTTAATATTAGCACCATGCTAAAGAAAATGTTGGTATACTAACCCTTCCCCCTTTCTGATGTTTCCTATAATAATTCCATATAACTTCACAAAAAAAAGTATTTTCCTATCATAAAAAAAGATTCATAAAAAAAAGTAGTCATTGATATCTCGAAAAAAACAAAATAATAACCAGTTGGTAACCTGTAATTCTATGTTGGGTTTGGAGGGCGGATCACTTGACTAAGCCCCTCCAGCTATTAGATCTAGACACACTAATCCAAAGGTTAATAAATGGGAAGGGCTTTTAATTACTGACAAGGGTAGTTTGGTTATTATGAAAAATTACAAAGTATACAAAATGGACTTACAAACCATACAAACAGTACATACTAGAATGACAAAACATACAAATAGATATACAAGCATACGAAAAATACAAAGTAGATTGACAAACAATACAAAACATAAAAAATGGAAAAACAACCAGGTTGACTTTGGAAGCTTTATCCCTATATAGAGGGGCACCGTCCGAAAGTCAAACCGGTTGTTTTTTAGACATACAAACATTACAAAAATAGTTGACAAAAATAACAAACTAGACTGACAAACCATACAAAATAGAAAAAACACACGGGTTAACTTTGGGCGCTCCATCTCTATATAGAGGAGTTATGTTAAAAAGTGAACCAGATTGTTTATTCTAAATAAATAATATTACAAACGTGCTTGACAAAAGTAACAAAGCTTACAAACATTACAAAAGAAATCGACAAACATTACAAAATTACAAAGCTTACAAACATTACAAAATAAACCGACAAACATTACAAAACATAATAACATTACAAAAAACACAACTTACAATACAAATCGGTAAAATTGTATTACAAATCAATGGATACAAAGTACACAAATCATAACTTAAAATATACAAACTACACTAACAAATATTATAAATCAAAATATATACAAATTAGTCATATAAACAGTACCAACACAATAGATAAAAATAACAAGCTAGAATGATAAACTGTACAAACCTCATTGATATAAACATTACAAATTGAACTTATAAAAATTACAAAATATGTCGACAAATATCACGAATCCAACACACTCGCCGGAAAATCCTCCTCTTGCGTCTCTGATCGCCGGAAAGCCTCCTCGGTCGTTGCCCAAAAATCTCTCTCTCATTGCACCTGGGCGGAAATTCCCCAATAGTAACCGGCGCACCGGCAGACACTTGCTTGCGTAGGGATTTTAAATTAATTAATAATTAAAAATTAATAAAGCCATGCAATTAATACATTGTTCTTCATTAAATTAGAGTAATCTGAGCTATTAAATTTTAATGAGATCAAAGGGCTAAAATTCACTTAGGGGTCGTTTGCTTGTTGGATTTGAAAAATGAGGGTTTTGGCCAACAAAGACCTTGGGATTTATGATGGATTTATTGGATTATGGATTTGAAGAGTCTAATGTTTGCATGATAGATTTGATGATGGATTTGTTAAATAAATAACTAACCATCAAAGATTTGCAAATCCCAAATCAATATGTGGGATTTACAAGTCCGTGGACCCCACGGATTTGGTTCCAAAATAAAAACCAAATCCATGGACCCCACGGATTTAGCACCCTTCAACAACCAATGAACTAGGGATGGCAATTTCGACCTGACCCGTTTTACCCGACCTGTTTTCCATGTTTTGGGGCGGGTCCGACCCGCCCCGTAGGCAGGGCAGGGCGGGCATGGGTAGTCTCATCGACCCGACCTGCCCTGACCCGCCCCATTCTCGACCCGTTCTTGTCTAAATGACATGTAATCTTAGTCAAATTACTTTGAATTTTCCTTTTATTGCATCATATTTTAGCTATAATAAAGTTGTAAATTAGTGAAAACCTCAATTTCTCCAATAATTTAACTACAATTGTCATAATATTGTTTGTTTTCTTAGTCTTATAATAAAAATAACGAATATTTCTAATGTTTTTCATATAAATTGCATACTCATTGGGTCGACCTGTCCCGACCCGCGACCCGTGATCAATTACCCGACCTGGACCCGCCCTGCCACGGGGCGGGTCTGGGTACCAAGAAACCCGCCCCGGACCTGCCCATTGCCATTCCTACAATAAACTTGTATTAAATCCATTAAATTTGAGATTTAGGTACCAAATCCATAACCCAAAGCAACAAGCAAACTACCCCTAGTCATTTCATCTTAGCCACCTGTTCGAGGTTCCAACTTCCAAGTCAACCCAAAGCCTTTTAGGAAAAGAAATAATAAAAAAAATTCTTTATTTCGTTGCGGGCAATCCACTATATAACCTTCAACTGTTCATATCGTTTAAGCCTCTTCCGTTTTCTTGCCTTACGGTCCGGTCCGTCTGAAAATCAAACACTGAAATCCGAAGTGTTTTGCACCCAACAAAATTTCAGAGAAAAAAGAGACGTGAAATGGAGGAGTCTTATGAGTCGTATCCCAGTGAAGAGCAGCAGATCGCCGCCCTTGAAGCCGCTCACGCGACGGCCAATCCCGATCACGGTTGGCAGAAGGTGACCTACGCCAAGAAGCAGCGGAAGCAAAAGCCTCTGACCGCCGCGGATCCCGCCGGCAAAATCAACGGTGTCCTCGTTGGTAACGACAAAGGGAACGTATTTAAGTCCTTGGAGCAGCAATCCGAGGAGCGGCGCCGGAGGATTCTTGAAGCCGAGACAGCTCCCAATGCAGCCGCCACCACCGCCAGGGCCGGCAGATCAAGGGATCGATCTGACGACGACAGCGACGATGATGACGACAGCGACGATGCAAGGGTTTCCAAAGAGAATGGCAAGGGCGGCGAGGAGAAGAAAGTGAAGCAGAAGAAGCCTAAGAAGCCCAAGATCACCGTGTCCGAAGCTGCTGCTAAGATCGACGAGTCGGATCTCGCTGCCTTTCTCTTGGATATATCTGTCAGTACTCCTAAAGTGTTCATCTCACATTTTCTTCGGATAGAATTTTGCTTGATCTGATGAATTTGGTGGTATTCTGATTGTGTTGGTGGTCGATTGCATTTTCAATCAAGGCTTCCTACGAGGGGCAGCAGGAGATACAGCTCATGAGATTTGCGGATTACTTTGGGAGGGCTTTCTCGGTTGTAAGTTCGGCCCAGTTCCCATGGGTGAAGTTGTTCCGGGAGAATCCTCTGACCAAAATTGCCGATGTGGGTCATACAGATTCCTCTTACTTTGATTCTGACTTGCTATTCTCTATTAGAATGAATGGTTCTGGGAGCACTGGGATAAAGTTCGAAGCTTTCATCTGTGGTCCTCACATTGCTGCACTAATCTTGTTTGATTATCAAGGTTAACATGTTGTGTTGCACGTTTCCCAGGTGTTAAATCTTTGAGCATATAGATTATGCTTCTTAATCGAGCTTTACCTGTCTCTCTCTCTCTCTTTCGTAATTGTTCCCGTTTAGTGTTCTGTTATGACTGAACATTTGTTTGTTTGTTTTTTTTTTCACCGGGATCTACATTCTGACATTTGGTTCTGTTGGTACATTGTTCTTGCATTCTCTCCAAAAACAATACCAAAAAGTACTGTGAAAAAGGAAGTGTCTTGCCATCGTTTGTGTTTCTAGATTGCTTGCATGATAAGCTTGGATGCTGTAGTTGATATGATACTCTTCTAGGTGATAGCTTGATCATCTTCTTTCAGCTTTGCTTTCTCAAATATCAGAAGGGTAACTAACATAGGCTTTCTTGTGCAGGTTCCCTTGTCTTACATTTCAGAACCTGTATTTAAAACATCTATTGACTGGATCTCTCAACATTCAGTTGAGGCACTTGGGTCCTTTCTGCTATGGTGTGTTGACGGTATCCTTGCAGATTTGGCAAGCCAGCAGGGTGGTCCCAAAGCCTCCAAGAAGGGTGGGCAGCAAACATCTTCAAAGTCCCAGGTATGTTAGATTTTAAGCTTGCTTTACTTCCTTGCTGTTGCTTGTTAAGCATTTTATACAGATAGATGTCATTACTTTGCTAGGCTTATATGTGAAATAACTTTACAGTTTCATTGCTGTGGCTGAATGGGTTAGGTCCTTCATACTATAAGCTTGCACTTCCTATTTTGTGTCTGAATCTCTTTGCTCTGAAGTGCTAGTTTCTTATCATTTGAAGGCGAAATTGAATTCTTTCAGATACTCATGGGCTTATACATACGTATGCATAAACTCCAATGTGTGAAGTTGTATATTCAATCTGGCTTTGAAAGAAGAGCTGCTTATCCAGTCATAACTGGAGAACAATTACCTGCATTTTTAGGTAGTCTGTCTTTGTATTTTCTTTGATAAAGAACAAGCTCAAATTATGCATGTTTTCAGTTCTTGATTTTGGCCGTATATGGCCTTGGTTGTTTAAGGCCTGTATTGGTGAAGAGCAGCACAGGGGCATGGTAGAACTATTTGGTTCTAGTTCCATCATATAGGTTCCAATGTGGTCAAGTCTATTCAAATGGAAGAGATGCACATCACTTTTCACTGTGCTTATGATTAAATGGGGAATGTTTCTTAACATAGGGGGTCCTTTCATTGTGTGTTAAATTACAGGTTGCCATCTTTGTGGTTTTGGCAATGGTCTTGCGCCGCAAACCTGACGCTTTGATTAGCATATTGCCAACATTGAAGGAAACTTCAAAGTATCAAGGCCAAGACAAGCTTCCAGTTGTTGTATGGATGGTCGCTCAGGTAAGCAGGTCATGCTATTTTAATGTGTTTAAACACTTTGGTGGGTAGCTTGCTTACTCTCTGATCCTTTTGTTTTTATTCTACATAGGCCTCCCAAGCAGATTTGGCTGTGGGGTTGTTCTCATGGGCACATAACCTCTTGCCCATTGTGAGCGGCAAAAATAATAATCCGCAGTCTAGGGATTTAATCTTGCAACTAGTGGAGAAGTATGTCATCTATTGCTAATTTACATCTTGCTCTTTGCTTTGAATTCTTCAATTATGTTGACAAAAATTCTGTATGCAGGATTTTAGCTGCTCCAAAAGCTAGGACAATTTTAGTAAACGGTGCTGTTAGGAGAGGGGAACGTCTGGTTCCACCTTCTGCATTAGAGATGTTGCTGAGGGTTACCTTTCCTACATCTTCCGCTAGAGTAAAGGTGGGTGCTTGCAAAATCCTGTTGCCGGGTTCTGATTCTATTGATATATGAGTTTTTGTCTTCGTTGTAAAGTTTCTCAATCTTCAGCTTGTTGATGATTAGGCGGGTTGCATTTGTGACATTCCTGTAGATATTACCATAAGAAAATTATATTTTCATATGAATCTTGTGATTTTGTGATATTAAGGCTACTATTTTATAGATATTAGTGTGGTTTTTAAGATGTTGGTCTTGTTTTCCGCCTGTCATTTTGTTATCCAGGCTACAGAGAGGTTTGAAGCAATATATCATACCCTCAAAGAGGTGGCTCTTGCTGGTTCTACTGGAAGTAAGGCTATGAGGCAGGTGGCACAGCAGATATTGACCTTCTCTCTGAAAGCAGCTGGGGAAAGTAAGCATTCTTAGGTTTCCTCGCTTCTATGTTTCTTTTGTAGCTAATTTCTGAATCACATGATAAGTTCATAGCTTTTTAGTACGAAAAACTGGTGGACTGAAATCCTTTTGACAGGCAATCAAGAGTTGTCCAAGGAAGCTGCTGGCATTTCCATATGGTGTTTCACCCAGAATCCCGAGTGCTACAAGCAATGGGTGAGTTGTTTATATGTTCCTAGTGGTGGACTTCAACAGTTATGTTTTGTTTTATCTTTGAGGAAATCCTTAATTCTGGGGAAAAACAGGTTAAGGTGTATGAGGACGATTTAAAGGCAAGTGTTGCTGTTCTTAGAGGGATTTCTGAGGGATGGAAGAACTTCTCGGAGAAACTGGCTCCTTTCGATCCTCTCAGGGACACTGTCAGAGAGTTTAGGCAAAAGGTACTGATTCATTGTACATCACTTTGTAAAAGTTGGCCACATGGAATTTTCCTGTCAGTGCTTAAAAATTTTGTACTCTTATCTCATTGTAGAATGAGAAAGCAATGGCCAAAGGGCACAACGATGTACTGTACAAGGAAGCAGACAAGTACTGCAAGGGGATACAGAGTAAGCTATCTAGAGGACATGGCTGCTTGAAAGGTATGGCCTTTGTGGTCGTGGCAATGGCTGTTGGAGCTGCCGTCATGTCCCCAAACTTGGAGGATTGGGACTTGAAGAAGCTGTCGGTGTTGATCAACTCTCATTTGTCTTCTTACTACTGAGCACAAGGATGCCTGCCCTTAAATTATGTGACTAGATCTGAACACCACCAACTGATGCAAAGCATCTCCAAAAGTAGCTTCCGGTTTAAGTTTTGTACCTTTGCTCCCCCGGCTTCCAATACTGAACTGAACTGAACGAGAGCAGGTAGAAAGTTTACTTTTCTTTTCCCCCCTTGTGTTTAGAGGACACAGGTCTTTGTTTCACATAGGTCTATGAGAAAGATAGGGTGGCTGTGTTTATATCAGAGGGGGGGAAATGCAGTTTGGCCAAAAGAAGAGGTAATAAAGATGAGGGAAATTTTTTAGGGTTTTCGTGTGTCAAATGGATGAATGATATATTTATTTTATTTTATTTAATCGGGTAGAGACTTTTAATAAATGAAGTTTTCTTTGTCTTGTGTCCATTCAATGCTCTGGTGGTTTGTAATCTTCTCCTCTCGTGTGAATGGTGTTTTAGCAGTTATGCTGTCATCTTCTCCAAGTCACGACTGTTTGTCGCTCAAACTTGAGGCTTGGGTTCCATAAGAATAGACATGTTCCGCAAAAGAAACTTGATTGGTTGGACTTATGGTTGTGGTGGAAGTGGGAACTCTTGTCTTGTGAGCCAAAAGTCAGCGAGCTGTCCCCGTCCGGTCTTCTCAATTCAATACCTTCTTAAAGGCGCAATGAAAGCATTAAGCAAATAGTAACCATATTTGCCCAACTCCACTGCTCATCTGCCCAGCTACACGCAGATAAGTATGCATGCTATGCTATTTCTAGTTTTCTACCGAACAAAAAAGAGGAGATGAATAATGCATGGGAGCTGTGACCCCTCCCTCTCATAACAGAAAATAAAAACACAGGAGGCTAATTGACAGAGAAGTGTTATGACAGCAATAACGGCAACAGTAGCAGTAGTTTTACATAGTGGTGATGGAGTCTGGGGCAAGCCCCTTGCAACCAGGAACATCGATCCACTCGAGCTGGACGTGAACTTGGCCAGATTCGACATGCTGAAGCTTGAGAACCATGTCCTGGAGTATCTTGCCTTGGTTCCAAGTGATGGGGCTCTCATCAGCGAGGCAGTTCTCCGTGGTGGGCTGAACCCTCTTGACGGCGCAGCCATCGGGGAGGTTTTTCAGCCCCATCCTGTGGGCTTCAACAAAGGGTTTGAGATCTATGTTCACCTCTCCCAATTTGTCGTCAGCTGTCAGTGTGTCCTTGTCAAACACCGTCTGCATCGCCCCATAATATATACACAGTCATGGAAATAAGAGGCTCCTCTTTAAGTAAACGCACTACTGTACTGTACTGTAATGTAATGTAATGTTCCAGTAGTACCTAATTCATCGAATCCACTGGTGTTTTCGGATGAAAGAAAAGTAAAGGAGCTAATTAATTGTCTTTTTGGATTGAACTGACTGTTGGATTGGAAGCAAGAAACAAGAAACACTCTATTATGCAATAAATTCTACCACACAATTCAGAAGCTCCTTCCACCCTCTTACATTAGTAACTAATTCATGATACTAATGGACTGATTAGGAATATATAACACAGACATGGAGCCCAACTATTGATTATTACATTCTATGCCCTTCCCTTGGCATGTGAAGGAGGAAAGAGTGAGGTTTTAACTTACAAGCAAGATGGGGAGACTAGGGTCCTTGATGGAAAGAGTGAGCTCTTCATTCCAATCCGGGTTACAGTTATTCTTCACCACCTTAGTCTTCAACTTCTGCATCAACCACAAACCAAAGCCAATCAAAGACATGATTATGAATCTCCAATTTTGAAATCATTATGTTATGCCCCATCTCAAAACATTCAAGATAGACAGAGGAAGTAGGCAGCTACTAGCTAGTCTACTACAGCCAAAAGCGTACGAACCGGTGCTATGACTGGACAAAACGCCTAGAGGAGTTACAGAACAGTTGGCATATTATTATGAAACGATTGAATCGTGTTTAGATACGATTTCACCACAAATTATCCTATCCTATCACTATCTTTTCGATACAATACAATCCTTGACGAAAAGAGATATTGATTTATTAGTCGGTGGCCCCCTTCCTCCGGCAATTCATTCATCTAAATCCAAAGAATTGGTTCAGCGATACAGAAGAAAGATAGAAAAGGCAGAGATGGGAGGGATGAAGAATGAAGAAAAGATCATTACAGTTACAGTATGATATATTAGGGAATGAACAATGAAGAAACGGGAGGGGAAGAGGTAGAAGCACTGGCCTGGTGGGCAAAGGTGACAACGACGTAAGGGTCGCAGCTATTACGACCCACATCACGGACGGCGAGGTTTCTTCCCCTCGGGATGCGGAGACGGAGCAATCCAAGCATTTCATCCATTTTTCTCTTCACTCTCCTTCACCCTGCCTTTTCGATTCCTTTCCCTACCCTAAACCAACGGAGGGAAGAAACTCGGATTGTTTACTTTTTTTTTTTTTTTTTTTGTTGGTGTTGCTTCTCTTACTTTCTACATATGATCACGTTCACAAACAAAAAGGGAATTTGAGGAAAATTGATTGACCCCAGAATGACAGTCATAAGAGAAATGTTATCTTCTTATTCTCTGTTATTTTGTTTGCTTCCGTCCGATTTTCTGTAGGCATGAGTTCGTGTGATTAAACCCAAAAGTTTAAATATAGGGTAAATATTTCTCTATGGCCTGAAATTTGAACAAAATAAACATTTTGCTCAATTTTTAGACCATTAAACAATTTGGCCAGATCTATAACATTCCGGCTCGAACTATACATAAAATAAACAATTTGGCCAGATCCGACTTTTAACCGTTAACGCGCCATGTCACTGCCAACTCAACAAATTTCAAATAATTTTTTTTTTTTAATTTACACCTATTTTCATTTTCTTTCCTTTATCATTTTGAACGAAAAAATAAAATAAATTTTCAATTTCGGATATATCCCCCAACAGAACCCCCTGCCCTAACCTCATTCTTCCCTTTACTTCGTCTCGTCTCCTCTTTTCCTTCATTGCTCTGGTCGCCAAAGCTGTTGTAGAGAAGGACAGAATAGCCCAGTGCCTCCGTCCAAAAGTGTCCGATATCAAATCAGACTGAGCTGGAGCTCCGAGTCCGATTAGGGATGGCAATGGGTCGGGTTGGGGCAGGTTTTGTCAAACCCAAACCCAAACCCATGGGTTTATCCGCCAAAAAAACCCGGGGTAAAACCCGTTGGGTTTGAAAAACTCAAACCCAACCCGCTGGGTATCCGCGGGTTCATGGGTACCCGTGGATTTTTGTGGTAAAAAATTTACAATAACAAGTTTCTTTCAAAATAAAAGTTTAACATCAATTTTCTCATACAAATTAATTATACAAAAAAACACCAATCTAGAGCATACAAGCAAACCGCAAATGATCAATACAAATTGTTTAAAATTAAAGATAAACATTTATAAATAAAAGATTAATTGAAAGCTTCTTCCTCGTCAACTAAGTTTCTTCGCTCTCCACTTCATAATATCAACTTCATTCTAAACAATTAGAAAGAACAAATTATACATGTCTCCACAAACATAAACAATATTAATTGTTTAAGGAAAATATATTATTTAGAATATTAAATATAACGGGAAAGTAATTATATGTGTGTGGGCGGGTACCCTTGGGTCGGGTTTTCCTAAACCCAAACCCAACCCGACCCGGTGAATAGTGTAGCTGGTTTAAACCCAAACCCGGTCCAAAACCCGTCAACAAGGATTTTACCCGCGTTGACCGGGTTGGGTCGGGTGGGTACCCGTGGGTTCGGGTTTTGTTGCCATCCCTAAGTCCGATCGGGTAGAAGCTGCAAAGAGAGAAGAAGAGAGAGCTTTTCTTTCTTCCTTCATTTCCCTTTTCTCCTTCTCTTGGCCCACTCAGAACAAGACACACTCTCTCTCTCTGTTTCTTGGTCGGACTCGTAGCTCAAAAACCCTTCCGCCATTTCTCTCCTCCCTTCTTCCTCCTCCTTCATTCCCACCGTTTCTTGAGCTCCTTCACCAATGGACGAAGACGACGAATTCGGAGATCTCTACACTGATGTGCTCCAGCCTTTCTCCAACTCCTCAACGTACGCTCTCCCGCCACCATAGCTGCTGCTTCAGCTTCAGCCGAAACGGGCTTCCCCGCCACCGCCGCTTCCCTCCTCGTCATCCGTCGATCTCAATCCTGACGACGATGACGAGATTCTCTACGTCGCATCCGGGCGTGGTGATCAAACCCTAGTGAATTCCGCCCCCAATTCGAAGCCTGATGGAAAGTTCTCGGTCGTGGTCGGCGGCGGTTCCGATTCAAGATTATGGAATAAAAATAAGGGTTAGGACACGAGGGGAATTTTGACCGATTTCTATCCGGGGAGCCGGATAAAGATTTGGATTTTGATATCGAAGAAGGTGGGAATGCTGGGGAGGATTCGGGTCTCGTCATTCCTGGAATGGGGGTTGATATGGTGGAGGACTCGAAGCAGAATGGAGCGGCGGCGTGTGATGGTGGCATGGGTGGCAGGTGACCGAGGGGTTAAGGAGGGTGGAGATGAAGAGTGGGACGAGGAAGACAGTGATAGTGAATACGATCTGCAGATCGTGTTGAACGATACTAGGCCGATGGGAATGGACAGCAGCATGATAAAGGAAAGAAAATGGAAATAGCCCATTTTTCGTTTTATTTTTTTTTTCCGTTCAAAATGATAAAGGAAAGAAAATGGAAATATGTATATATTAAAAAAATTGAAATTTGCTGAGGTAGCAGTGACATAGCGCATTGACCGTTAGTCAACGCGTTTTAGCGTCCAAGTTAACGGTCAAAAGTCGGATCTGGCCAAATTGTTTATTTTGATGTATAGTTCGGACAAGGATTTTATAGATCGAAAATATTGGCCAGGATGTTTATTTTGGTCAAAGTTCAGGCCATACAGAAATATTAACCTTTTAAACATATACTTAAAGCAATTCTATTGGTATTGACTAATAGAAATTTAGACAGTTAATAATTAGTTTATAGTTAGTATTAATTATAGATAAGTTAAGGGCAATTAGGAAATTTTATTTCGTTAAAAAATTATATTCCCCATCCTCTACCACCACCCCAATTGCCCATCTCCAAGTCCCACAACCACCCTTCTTCGTCATTCTCTACAATCGCCCCAATCGTCGCCGACTCCACACCACCGAAAAACCCCATCTCCATGTCCTTTCCCTCTTCCACCGCGCGGGCTCGCATACAGCTAAATCTACTGCACACATTGTTTCGCTACCGTCTCCATCTGATTAGCAACGACAACATCGCCCCTTCCTCCAACTTCACTCACCCAATGGACCCGCCGATTCTGCTGCTCCTATGCACAATCCCAAGGTTGCTGGCGGTTATCCTCAATCTGGGCACTTATCTTTGGCAATCCTTAATTAGGCAAAATTTTGGGTTGGTGTTTGAATAATAGGGTAAAAAAGCAGCTCTTATTTGTTTCTTTAGTAGTTTCAATTGAAAATGATTATTGGAATGATTATTAATGATTTTGTATTGATTTTCAAAGAAATTCAATTCCTAATTAATGATTTGTTCATTTGTTATTAAGGATTTTCAATATCTGTATTAACGGCTTAATGCAATTTTATAGATGATTCTTAATTTTTATGGAAAGGGAGGCATAAGCCAATGTTTCAAGAGAGAAGTACAAAATCAGCTAAAGTCCCCTGCAAACTCGTAGAAGGAAAGCTAGCTAAAACACAAACCCAGGTGGCACAAAATAGCAGCTCTAGGAACTAAAACAAAACCCCCAAAGAAACATCAACTTCTATTCTGCAGAATATGTCTGGGAAAGCTCACTCCCATAATGTCCTCCCTTAGGATTCTATCCAAATCAGTTGGAGGGTGCGTTAATTCATGCATATCAAAGGGATAGACGAGACTGTGCTTCGAGAGCCAGGCCACGTCTCTATTCCCTTCAAGATATGTATGGATTAGACGAACCACCCAAATTTGCAACATCAACCTGCGGATAGCCGTCAACATGATTGAGTATGGTTGTGTTGAGTCGTCACGATTCTTGATTAACTCCAAAGCCATCATCGAATCCGTTTCAAGAATTAGGAATTGAGTTCCTTAACTTCAAGAAAACTCGAGTCCTTGATAAACTCCCACAGTTGTGCTAACATTGCCGATCGTGTCCCAATTTTGCAGCAAAAGCCACCTAACCAGTCACCTTGTTGTTTTGCAGCACCCCACCTGCTGTTGCTAGCCCTGTTCCACCCTGAATCGCACCATCTGTGTTCATTTTTCTCCAGCCTCTTGGCACACAGGTCCAGCTGATCAGCTGCTCCTCTAGTTGGGGTCTCTCATTAGTAGCTAAGCCAACACACGCTCTATCCTAGGTCTGCAACCAATCCTTAGCTTTCGTCGTGACGTAGTTGATCACTATAGATTCTGTAAGCCTCTTCCCCTGAAATAGGAATTCATTCCTATACTTCCAAATGTACCATTTTAAAAGGGAGAAGCAACTTGCCCACTAATCTTGATCTTCGTTCATATCACTCCCTTCCAAATTAATTCAGAACCACTCATCATGGCTGGCTGTGAAGAACCTGCGATGTTTTTGCAGTGGAACAACCATGTAACAAATTTTTTGCGAGGCCGAGCAATCCAGATCCGTACACTTCTCTTTCTTGATAGCCCCATGTTGGCTCGAGGTAACACCATTCAGATGTTGGTGGATACCCCCACGTGTAGGAGAAGCTATCGGGATCCATGGCTCACCTCTGCATCACACAAGATAAAATACAAAACAAAAGAAAAGATAGAAAATGCTAGAGTAACACTAAACGAATTTTTCAAAATAATGGACCATAGGATCCCCGACAAAGGCGCCAAAAACTTGACTCATCACGGATACACCGCGATTTAAATCCCAACTAGAGCTCAAGAATAAACTCTAGCTAGGTGCAGTATATGGCAAGTATGTTTTAATTGTCAAACACGAGCATGTCCATGTACCCCTAATTCAATCGCTTAGGTTGTTATCTAGCAAACAATTTTGGGTTTAAAAGTAAGAAAACTACAAAATACACAAACAAGGAAAGTAAATCGAGGAGAATTCTGTATGAGAGGACTTCACTTGGGTATTGCTTCCCCTAGTCTCGTGCTAAGAAGCAATGAACAAAACCCTAGTGTGGAGGACGTGTTCATATACCGTGAGACGGGTGCAACTAGCTAGGAACAAGCTATCCTAGTCGATCGATCAATGATTGCCACAATAAGCTAGCGAACCTAGCTCTCTTGATCGAAAAAACTGAGGAAAACCTAACTCTCTTAGTTGACCAATCTAGGATTGTTGCATCAAGTTAGTGGTCTAACCCTCTTAACCTTTCGGTTAAGGATTACAACTCTAGGCTAGACGATCTAGCCCCTTTAAATCAGTCAACTAAGGACTGCAAACCAATCCCTTGGAACTTAATCCGGATGGCGGAGAGAAACCAATCATGGGAGGATCATGGTACTACTCCGATACTTGAGGTTTTGGCCCTAGATTAACCGAGAAGGGGTTACCCAAGAGGCTAGGAGGTCAAGCTCCCTATGGGCCAAAGGGGGATTTCCACACTCTAAGTTAATTTATACCCAACAATGATATAACTCAAGCAAGACTCACTAATCATGATTAATTTAAGGTTTGTCCTAATTCTCCTAGGTGGGTGACACAAATTGCTTAAGAATCGAACTTCTCAAAGCCTCTTTTAACAAGGAGATTCTCTCCGCCTAGGTCAAAATGACCCAATCACGAGTTAAAGCTAGCACATTCAATCATTCAAGAAAAAATACCTCAAATATTATAAAAACATTCAATCAACAAAATAGAATCAAGTTCTTACATTCTAACACACATCTAGACTAGGATTCACAATAGCCAAGTGAGTAGAGAGGCTATTCCATAGCTAGGCAAGAAAAAACAAGAAAAAGGAGAGAAAGAACCATGAAGAGATGACAATCTTCCTTCCTTGTTGCTTGAATCTCCCTTGAGAGGTAAGAATCTTTACTCCTCTAGTTTAGGACAAGCCCAATCTCCTTCTTCCGCCTGTTGACGGTCCTAGTTCACGGTCGTGAACATTCGTCCTGGACCGTTCAGTAGAGCAGATTCGCATCGTTTCACTAAGTCACTTCACGGTCTGGGGTTGGAGTTCTCAGTCTTGTGACCGTGAACTGGTTGGGCTCCAGAGAGATGTGCAAACTGTTCTGGAACTTTGGTGCTTCACGGTCACGATGCAACTGTCTTTGGACTTTTCTTCACTTTCTCGCGCTTTTCGACCTCCAATCGACCCAAAACTCGTCCTCGATCTTTTCGCATGTGCTAGAACCTGAAATGTAACAAAAAAAAAAACACAACCTAGCGTAAAATAGGTCGAGAGATGATGAAATGCAAAGTCAAACTATCAAGAAATGAGGGGTAAAATGTGTACAATTGGGCCCGAATCACACATTGTTTTGGATCATTGTGACGTGGTCGGGCTTGATCTCAAAATTGTTGACGGCCATGGGTGGATCTAAAATGGTAGGTTGGTATACGCTGCCCGTGGAGCCATGTAATAGCCCATGGTCCTCGGTTGCTCCGCAACTTCCGCTTGAGCTTCTTGATTAGCCACCATCTCGGCTTCACTTCCTTCCTCTTTGGATTCAAATTCTTCCTCAACTGCAACACCTTCAACTTCATGACCAAATTGTGGTTGTCCCCTCTCCTCTATCCTTCTTCTTGCTTCCACAAGTTCCCATTCACGAGCCAAGAGTCGGAGAGTGCGGTTGAGATTCTTGTCCAGTGGCGCTGATTCGGGTCCAATTGTACACATTTTATCCCTCATATCTTGATAGTTTGGCTTTGCATTTCATCGTCCCTCGACCTATCACGCTAGGTTGGGCTTGTTTTGATACATTTCAGGTCGTAGAACGTGTGGGAAGGTCAATGACGAGTTTTGGATCGATTGGAGGTCGAAAAGTGCCAAAAAGTGAAAAAAAATGTCCATGAAGCAGCCGTAGTTCAGGGTCTCCCAAGACCATGAACTGGAACCTCAAACTGTGAACAACGAAGCATCCAACAAGGTTTCAGAGGTTACCGACGCCAAGGGAGTTCACGGTCTCTAAGACCGTGAACTTGAGCCATTGACCGTGAACCCTAGAAGTGAAGCGGTGTGTTTTGATCCACTGCATCGAGTTCAAGGACGCGTTAGGTGTTCACGGTTTTGATCCACTGCATCGAGTTCACAGACGCATTAAGGTGTTCACGGCCATGAACAGAGGCCGTGAACTGGACTTGACCTGGGTATTAAACAGAAGCAGAAGGAAGAAGAAGGGGGAGCTGGTTTTTGGAGAAGGAACACTTTCTTTCTATAGGGTTTCAACCCAAAACACCAAAGGGGAGTTCTAGTGAGAGAGAGAGAGAGAGAGAGAGAGAGAGAGAGAGTGATCTTGGAGCTTAATTGAAGGCATTGATCAAGCTTGGAAGCTAGGAACAAGCCTAGAAAAAGAAGATGAAGATCTAGAGGTTTCTTTGTAATCTCTCCTCTCTCTCTCTCTCTCTCTCTAGAAACTCACCCTCTTCTCTTGGGATTAAGAATCCTAGGTTTATATTTGGGTTTAATGTTGATGTATGTGACAAACTCCATGATTGATTGATGATTTTACTTAATTGATGGATGTTTTCATGAATGGCATGAGTTGGGTTTCCATTTTCATGCATTGAGCTTTTGACCTAGGAGGGAGATAATCCCCTTAGAGCCCCCCTTTTGGCGTCTTCGGGTCACTCCTATCATATATTGTTCGGGTAGTCCCCGAGGGAGTTGATTCGACCGGTCTCCTAGCATTATACAAAACCCTAGGTTGAATAGAGCACTACCCATCCATCGATTCGTCGTTTCGGGTCATTCATGAGGGAGTCCATTTCCAAACGGTATTATATTTGAGTCGATCGAGCTAGGAGGATACCCAACATCGATCCAAAGAACGGACCTACGACGATTCAACCCAAGAGAGCTCCCCACCTTGTAAATAGCTAGGTTAGTGGTTAGTCTAGGTTAGTTAGTTTAATTCTATCAATCACTATCTAAGGTTGGCTAGATAACGAACCCTAAACCTGAAGTAGGGTAAGCCTAGATCCCCATGGTACGATAAATTCTTATTACTTGCTTGGCCTATGTTACACCCGGTCGGCGGTTATACTTGGACATCGTTCTGGATGTTGTATTTAGAGCGAGTCAGGCGCTAAAGGTGTCGGATTACTCTTTAATTCTATCAATCACTATCTAAGGTTGGCTAGATAACGAACCCTAAACCTGAAGTAGGGTAAGCCTAGATCCCCATGGTACGATAAATTCTTATTACTTGCTTGGCCTATGTTACACCCGGTCGGCGGTTAAACTTGGACATCGTTCTGGATGTTGTATTTAGAGCGAGTCAGGCGCTAAAGGTGTCGGATTACTCTAGGTCATACAGCCTCCTGCACACACTCAAAAGAACCACAACTCGTTTAACACAAGCAAGATTCACACACACAAAAGCAAAAAGTAAAGCTAGATTGACATCAAACAATGTTTTCAAAATAACGGACCGGAAGTTCTCTGAAAAAGGCGCTAAAACTTGACTTGTCCCAAATACCACAATAAAAATCTCAATTAAGGCCCAAGTATAACCGGGTGCAATATAGGGCAAGTATGTTTAAATATCAACTCGCGCCGGAGCATATATCCCTACTTCGATTGTTTGAAACATTATCTAGCAATTGTTTTTTTGGTGAAAACAGCGATCTATAACTAAAACGTTTGGAAAAGTAAATGGATTGGACACTAATTGAGAAGGCTTCACCCGGGTGTTGCTCCCCCTAGCTAACAATAATGACTTGTCGGATCGAATGCATAGGTGTGGTAAAGGCCTTTGTAAACCATTGGGAAGTGCAACTAGTGAACACATGCCACTCGCTCGGTCAATAGGCCAAGGGATTCGGATTCAAGCTACCAAAGTAGCTCTCTTGGCCTATCAACCAACGGTTGCCTACACTTCACCCTCGAATTGGTGTTCGAACGACCAAATTAAGTCAATCCTAGGTCCTCATACAAATTAAGAGGTTTTCCCTAATTTTAGATTCTTTGATTTTGGACTCTTGGATTTGGACGGGGACTTGGATTTAGAGGATTTCTTGCTCATGTCTCTCATCTTACACCTAATCTCCTCTTCTTATCCACCACAAGAAACAAGAACATACAATGAATGAATGTCAACCAACATAAGCAAGTGCAAACAAACATTTCATCATCAAAGAATTGAAGTGACAAAAGGCAGCTACAAACCCAGAAGGAGAATGGAGCAAAATATTAGAAGAGAGCAACTCAGGCCCAACACAAACCAAAAAAACAACCAGACCAAAAAAATAGAATCCATGCTCCTAAGGGAGTCGAAATGGCAGGGGCCTACTAGCATTGCAGTTAAAGAGACCAACAATGAAAACGTAAGCCGTCAGAGAAACATGCAAAAGTACATTGTTATGGAAGAGAGCAACAAACCTGGACGAAAGGTAAGTAGTACTTGTTGAATGTTCTCAGAGTGTCCTTCACTTGAGCATAAGCACTCTTCCTAGAGTCTAAACTCCGGCAAGTAGAACTGACTCGTCCCGAATATCACAATAAAACTCCCAATTAAGGCCCAATTATAAACCACAATCGGGTGCAATATATGGCAAGTATGTTAGTGAAAACGACAATCTATAGCTAAAACGTTTGGAAAATTAAATGGATTTGACACTGATTGCGAAGTCTTCACTCGGGTGTTGCTCCCCCCTAGCTAGCAATTTGCAAAACGTCGGGAAGTGCAACAAGTTAACAAACGCCACTCTCTCGATCAATAGGTCAAGGGAATTCGATTCAAGCCATCAAAGTAGCTCTCTTGACCTATTGACTAAGGGTTTCCAAGACTTCACCCTCGAATCGGAGTTCATATGGCCAAATTACAACCAACCCTAGGTGCTAATTCGAACAAAGAGGGTTGCCCTAAATTAACCTAGATAGGAGACAAGATTTTCCTAAGAAACCGTGGCTTTAAAAGCCTCTTTCAAAGAAATGGGGTTTTCTCTCTATCTAGGTTAGAATGGCAAATAGATTGATAGGCGAACACACAACACAATCTTCCATGAAAACACCTCCAAATTTATATTAAAACAAATCCACACATAAATCATTCAACCCATACAAACGTTCACATAATTGTAGCTAGGGTTTATAAACACCCAAGTGAAATAAGATACTACTCCATGCTAAGGAAAACATAAGAGAGAAGAAGGGAAACCATCATGGAGATATTAGCCTTCTTCCTTGTGTTGAAGAGATTCTCCTTTGGGGAAGAAATTCCCAAAACCTTGCTTGAAGATGAAACTCTAGTTTCTTCTCTTCTTTGGTTCGTCACTTTCTCACTCTAGAAATCTGAAGAAGAAGAAGAAATTTCTCACACTACGTCTCTCCCCTTTTTCCTTCAGCTCAAACCCTCTTTTTATACCCAGGTCAGGCTCACATCACAGTCCCAGTTCACGATCGTGAACTCAAGGCGGGGACCATGATCTCAGGCTAAAACGCGTCGCATCAATAACTCTGTTCACTGTCTGCAGCTTGGGTTCATGGTCTTACGACCGTGAACTGGCTTGAGTTGAGTGAGAAAAAAATGTCTCTGGAAGCCTCAGGGTTCACGGTCGCGGCTCTAGTTCACGGTCTCCCTGACCGTGAACTCACTGCTTCCACCGTGATCTACTACTGCCTCCATCCTTTTACCCGGTTTTTGAAGATGAACTAGTTTTAGAAATTGGTCGAATGTCAATTTTAATTAAATAAAAATTATTTCGCCTTGTTTTTAAGAGTTTGATAATTTTCCAGGATCTATGTTCTCGTGATTAACATGGGGAAATTATTATCTGAATTTTTAAGGGGGTTCGAGTTAGGTGAAAAATTCGTCCAAGATAAAATTAATTAGGAAAATGGTCGATTTTGAAGGGATTATTTCTAGAAAACTTTTAAAGGAGGTTAAGGGATCTTTAGAATGAGGCTCCGGGACTGGATTTTGAGGAGAGAACGTTCTTGTGATTCAAAAGGGATTTTAAATTGGGAAAGGTTGTCTAAGGAGATGAGCTTCTTATTAATAGGTTTCCGGAGATAATTCGGCTAAGGAGGGATTTTTCGAGTAAGGAATTGATGAGTCATCTTTTCAAGGTGAGTGTAAAGGGGGTAAATTCTACGCCTTACGGTATTTAAGTTTTTTTTTAAAAATTGTCTGCTATGTGCCATACTTGCCTTTGGATGTTTATATGATGCCATGTAAGTTTGTGTCAGTATGCTTTCAGTTTTGTGTTATTGCTTACAACTAAGTTCAAGTTTAATAAACAAGTTTTCTTTTAAGTTCTTCACCTTCAAGAAGGTGAAATAGTTTTAAGTGTTTTTAGTCACTAGCGCATGTCTGTTGCCGTTTGAGATTTTGAGATAAGAGCAGTAGTATGCTCTTGAGACTTTTAAGATGAGCAGCAATTATGCTCTTGAGACATTTAAGATGAGCAGCAGTTATGCTCGTGAGAATCGTGGAAGAAGAGCCTTCCACGATAAGTTTAAGTTTAAGGAAATCCTGGACGGGCTCTCATATGTATGGGTTAGGAAACTGAACTAGCTAGTGGGGGATCCCTGTGTCAGTTAAAAGATTAAGTCAAGATTTGAGCTTTAAGAAGGGAGAATAACTTTAACTCCCGAAGAGTTTTAAGAGTTACGGTTTTTAAGAATGGAAGTACAAATGACTTCCACTAGTTAAAATTAAGTATTTAAAATTAAGTATTTAAGAATGGAAGTACAAATTAAGTATTTAAAGAAGAATACTAAAGTGCTATAGACTTTTAATGTAAGGGCATAGACAGACCCCAACTCACTTACCAGATCGTAGATGAGGAGATCGCAATCAGCAAGTCCATGACCAGCAGACTAGAAGAGCTCAACACCACCATCGCTGAGGGATGTTGAGCGAGGCGTCAGAGTAAGCATCGGAGAACTCCTTAAGCTATTAAGACTTTGTGGTTATGAGTTTAAGACTGGAGATTCGTTTCTTTTGTTTCTTCTAAGAGTACGATTTGAGTTTTGCCCACATGTTTAGGGCTTTGCTTTGAGATATTAAGATATTGAGATTGGATATTTTATTTAAGGTTATGCTATTTGAATTTTTAAATATACCTCGTGGGTAGAAATGTCTTTTTCCAAGTTTCAAAGTAGT